AGGCTTAATTTAGACCTTTGTGCGTATTTCAAGAGGTTTGGTGAAAATAATTTTTTTATTTTATTAGTGTATGTTAACAACATGTTGGTTGCAGGCCCCAACAAAGATCGTATCAAAAAATTAAAGGCATAGTTGGCTAGAGAATTTAAAATGAAGGATTTAGAATCTACAAACAAGATTCTAGGGATGCAAATTTATCGAGATAGAATTAATAGGAATATTTAGCTTTCTCAGAAAATTATTTAAAGAAAATCTTGCGACGCTTCAATATGAAAAATTATAAGTTAATTTCTATCACACTTCCTGTTAATTTCATGTTATCCTCAACTATAAGTCCTAACAACGAAGAAGAAAGGATGGAGATGTTCGAGTACCGTATACATCAACAATGAAAAGTTTAATGTTCGCTATGATTTGTACAAAACCAGACATTGCACAAGCAGTAGGAGTGGTTAGTCAATACATGACGAATCTTGGTAAAGAGCATTGGAATGCTGTAAAGAGGGTCCTAAGATATATTAAGGGAACTTCAAATATTGCATTATGTTATGAAGGATCAGATTTTATTGTCAATGGATATGTTGATTCTGATTATGCAAGTGATCGTGATACTAGCAAGTCCACCAAAGACTTTGTGTTTGTACTTGCTGGTGGAGCTGTAAGTTAGATATTAAAATTACAGTCAACTGTGGTTACATCAGCAACAGAAGCAGAATATGTAGCAGCTACACAAGGTAGTAAAGAGGCAATATGTTTGAGAATGTTACTAGAGGAACTCGGGCATGAACGAAAAAAATTCTCTATTTTGTGACAGACAGAGTGCTTTACATTTGGTAAGAAATCCATCCTTTCATTCAAAGACAAAACACATTCGAGTGCAGTACCACTTCATTCGTGAAGAAGTGAAAGAATGATTAGTGGATATACTGAAAATTCACACCAAAAAAACCTAGCAAATTTTTTAGCAAAAACAATCAATACGGACAAATTTATTTGGTGATGATCCTCTTGTGGTCTGTAAGAGATGTGAGCAACATGAAGATGACAAGATAGAAAAATGATGTGAAGATATGATTGATACTCAATCAAATCTTCAAGTGAGAGATTGTCAACAACAATTGCTGGCAACCACAATTGTGGAAAAATAAAAGATGGCGGCTCCCTAAAAATAAATGCACCGAAAGAAGCTGCACCGAAAGATGAAATAAAATATTAAAAAATTAGGAATAGTATTTTCCCGACCGCTATAAATAGGCCCAAAACTCTTCAAGAAAAATCCATCCCATAAACAACAACTCCACGTATAAAAGAGTGAGAGAAAAATAGAGAGAGTTTCTCCTCGTAAAGATAAATTGTAACTTTGAAGTTTTTCCTCATAGTGGATTTTTCTATCATTAACCGTGGTTTTTACCCCAAATTTATTTAGAAGATTTTTTACATAAATACGTGTGTTCATTTTATTACCTTCGCTTTACTATTCGCTGGGACCCTACTCTATTGAGCACCAGATTTGTCCCAACAACTATATTAACCAAAAATAATTGAGGAAAGACAACAGAAGAACAGAGATATGTTTTATCATAAAAGGCAACATAGGGCTCAGAGAACCAGCCAGGAATAATCCAAAGAATGCACTCATTTCCATCTCCTCTTGCTCTTCCTCTGCCTTTTTCTGCTAGGGATGTCAAATGGATGGTTTTGGTTGGATCTTTGTTGGGTCATAAATAGGTGGGCACATTTTTGACCACTTGACCATTTATGACCCATTTAGCATTTGCTAAATGGTTCACTTCTCATCCACCTATTTACTAAATGGGTGGTTCATGGGTGACCCAATAACCAATTTAGTTATGATGCTTGTATATATATGTAAGTTTCAGGGATCTACTTGTAAACTTTCAGGGGATTTTCTGCAAACTTGCAAGGGGCTTTCTGTAAAATTTTAAGGGGTTTTCTGCAAACTTTTAGGGATTTTTTTGCACTTTCAACCTGACTTGAGGCTTCAGAATGAGAGAATTGAGCAACAAAAAGATCAAGAAAAGTCTTTATAAAGCAAAGAACACATAGGTAGCATATAAAGCAAACATAGTAGATAAGCTGTCAACATAACTTAACTGAGTACAATCCATAATTGGTCCCTCATACAACATTTAAGTTTCATAAAAGAGGCAAGATGCATAATGAGGAATATGATCAAACAAAAGACCAGTTCACAAACATAAAAGCTAAATAGTGGTGAGAATCGTCGTCATTAAGGACTTTCCAAGCTACAGCCTGCTCGTAGGATACGGGGCGCCCCATGCTCGATACACATATAGGAGCACAGGAAGAACTTGGTTGAGTAGAGATTGCACTCTCTCCTCCACCTGGCTGTGCAACAAATTTATCTCTTTGATAACCATAGACTCTGCTGCCTTGGAAGCTTTTTCATCAATTCTGGGCTGATAGAAAATAGGAATTCGACACTAGTTTTACTTTTTTCGTCAAACACAATCTACAAAAGCTATTATATGAAGATAATCTATAAAATACTGCATCTTATATTTTTTGTAGATAATTGCAGCGACCTACACTTGCTGGCTCATGCAGATACAGGAGTATTCAAGATGAAATGAGACTACAATGGCACAAGCAAATAGATGGAATAGCACGCTAAAGGACGATGCCAAACAAACCACTGCTAACATGCTTATTTGCGAAACTAATTAAATAAACCAGCAGTGCGGTTCTCCAAAAGAAGTAAAGAAATACTAAGTGGAATTGTGGAACCAATATGCTACAAATAGCTTTAACAGTTCATGAAATATTTACTCGTAAACCATCCTTCATTCTGTAATTTCTATCACGAACCTTGACCCCAATTAGCAAAAGTGTAAGAGATAGAAAAGCTAATTATACGTCTATGGAATGATTATCAAACCAAAACTAAATAAGAAATAAATCCCGCTAAAATAATCATTCTAGAGGACTGCAACACCAGGTCAGTTAAGTAAAATCATGAAATGTGTTTGTTGAACAGGAACACAGGAAGAACGTAACAGAGTGAGCACAGCTGCACATGTTGTCAGTCAAGAACATATCTACGGAGCGTCAAAATCGACACTGTTATTTAGTAATACCTCAAAGAAAATACACATCTAGATTTCATCTTCAGATTCAAAATTTTGAATATCACTAAAATCATGCACCAACAAATGTCTTTCTTCAATATCTTCCAAACCTGCATTTAGATCATAGGATACAACTATGTTAGTCTAATATAATACATGTACACCATAAATTTACAGAAGGTAACATTACAGTGACTGAAAGAAAAGAGAAGCAGAAACATGGACTCCTTGAAACTCTTAATCACATATTATAGACAAGAACAAGGTTTATAACTCCACCAATCCAAATAATATTAACCATACAAACATAACCACTAGAGTCTTTGTCGGCATGAATTTCTTCTACAATTGTGCAACCTAGATTGTGTGCGAGTGCACTTATTACTTAGGGTCTGTTTGGCAAAAAAGAATACGAGTAGAACTTAAAAACTAGCTCACCAATTTTGGCCTTAAACTGGTTTGTTTTCGTCCACTCTTCTCTTGGTTCAGAACTAAACTGGTTTTGATCAAAACTGATTTGATGAGAGAGATGTCAATCCAATCACATTAGGATGACTAAAACGACTTCTAGCCTTTAGACTGGATGCATAGAGTAATTATGCAAAAGGCACCATTAATTCTATGTGATCAACTATTAGCTAGATCTTGGTTGATGCTAAGAAAAGAACATATATATGGCTGACACCTTTTTTGTCAGCTTTTCGATGGAAACCTTAATTAAATTTCCAGCCTATATGATTGAAGCTTAATTTGCAGTAAAAGACAATTTTTCGATGGAAACCTTAATTAAATTTCCAGCCTATATGATTGAAGCTTAATTTGCAGTAAAAGACAATTTAATTTCCTTACAAAACAATATCTTAGTTGCTAGTATATGAGAGACCTGTCCTCCTAAGAAAATTTATCTTATAAAATGTAGTGAAAATTCAAACTTTTCAAATTAAACCAAAATTTTAGCAAAATTAATCAATCCAATATGATCTCAAGACTAAAACATACTACAAAGCTCCTCAAATTATAACATTAATGCCAATAAGAATAAAAGACTCAAGAAAATCTCAAAATTGAAAGGAGACAGGATTTAAAAAAACCCCAAAATTGAAAGAAGGCAAGATCAAGAAACCCTACAAAGAATGTACCTCAAAATCCAGTGATTAGTTCGATTGAAGACCTGAATGTTGAAATTGCTCGATCAAAGGCCTGAATTTGAACATGAGAGTCGCTCGAACAAGACTCAAACCCTAATCGTTGCCTCTACAAGTTGAAGATTCGATTCTCCTGTTGATCGAGAGGAACTAGGGTTCGATCGGAGAAAGATGAGGTGAAATCGAGCGCTTGAGAGGAGAGAGAGGCGCTAGGGATCGAGCGTTTGACGGTTTGAGAAAGGGGAGAAAGGAGAACGAGGGCGTGGGAGCGGATCAGATTGGGTTGGGTTATGGGCGGGTTCGGTTATGAAATGTTTACGCTGGAGGGAAGCAATACTCACCCATTTAGGACCCGCTTTGTTAAGTGGTTGGGTATAGTTGGACTATTTTGTGGGTGAGTATGAGTAGATTATTTGGTTTGTGTCTAGATTGCCACCCCTACTCTTTCATGACCTTGGCCATTCCTCTCCCCTCACCAATTCTAGCGCTTAAAATTGGCAACAGAGTCATGTTCCTTTTTCTTCGCTGATGGTTAGATTGAGGAAGAATCTCATCCTCATCTACAAACAGCCATCAATTCCATTATTTTCTCTCTCAAAATGTTTAATAACACAGCACATTATTATTATGGTTGTTTATTTCAGGAAGGGCAAACGTTCTAGGGTTTTATATGTATAAAAACCTCGACTTTTTGCTGAGTCAGGTTACTTGCGGCCACTATTTAAGTTAAAAAGGGCACTACGGTAAATATTTCCACATTCTCGTCCCAAGTCAAAAAAGTCAAAACCCTGCCCCAATTCCCCCCAATTCCTCCCCTCTTCCAAAAACCCTAGCTTTTGGCAATGGAGGAACCCAACCAAAATGACCAGCCTACCCTCTCCAAAAGCGCGCGAAAGAAGCTCGCCAAGCAACAGCGGCAAGCAGAGCGCAAGGCCGAGAGAAAATCGCAGGAAAAGGAGCGAAAACGGAAGGATTTGGAGCGTCGGAGGAGAGAGTGGGAGGAGAAACTGAGCAGCGCAGCGTCGGAGGAGGAGAGAACGAGGATGATCGAGGAGCGAAAGGAGACGAGAAAGGAGAGGATGGGGAAGAGAGCCGAGGAGAGAGGAATGAGAGCTGAGAGGTTGAAGAAAGCCAAAGAAATTGGGCAGAAGGTTGTTATTGATCTGGAGTTCGCGGAGCTGATGACTTCGAATGAGATCCATAGCTTAGTGCAGCAGGTGAGCCTGTTTGGAACTTTTCTTTTTCTTTATTTTTTCAAATGCGCTAATTTGTTAGCGATGTGTAGAGGAATTTATCTGCAGATAGGAGTAAATGCAAATAGAAATCAGGAACTAATTATGAGGCTTCATGCAGAATGATAGTCTGTTGTAGAATTCGGAGGAAACATATACTGAAACTGGTTTTATTTACCTGTTAACCATGTTAATGCATTTTGATTCATACTGTGCCTCGCATAACTATAACGGAGGACCAGTACCTACAATGGCGATCGAAAAATGTGTAACATTATACAACTTAGGTCCTGTTCGGTTGGTTTAAAAAACGAAAGAAAGTGGTTAAAGAAAACTGATAATGGAGAAAAGTTCCAAAATTTTGACATTTTACCTCAGTTTCTGATGTTTGGACGACTTAAAAAGAAAAAGGAAAGTGGTGAAAAAAGAGATGCCACGTTAGATTATAAGGGAAGTTGTTTTCTTTCTCAAAAAACACCTGATTTTGCCAGAAAGTAGTGTTAAAGGTGATTAAATATTCAGATCTCGTACTCCTCCCCCTCCTTTCTCATTTTGCCTCCTCTCCATTTTCTCCTGCTTCCATTTTCTCTGGCCTATGACTCTGATGCTTTGAATGATGTGAGGGAAGCAGATCAGCGCGATATCCCTCTCCAGCGCCGCCGTCGAAACCCTCACAACCTTCACCGTCAACTTAACACTATGACAGTTAGCGATTATAATCCAGATGAAGATGGTGATGATGATGAACACAAAGACGAGGATGAGGATGAGGATTCGGTAAGGGAGAGGGAAAAGATCGCTGCAAGACTTCGAGAGCTCGCAGGCAACAAACCAGTAGAGGTTGAGGAAGCAAGGGATCTAGATGAAGAAGGGGAGAGAGGCGTAGATGATCTGCTTTGCAAAAATTTTAAAGATTTGAGGGAATAATTGCAAATTTTTTTAATTGGGGGAGTAATATCAATGCATAACATGAGGGACTTTTTTAAAAAAGCCCAAATTGAGGCTGTTGAAAACAGGGGACCAGTGTTTTCAATACTCAATTTGGACTATTCTCAAAAAAAGTCCCCCACCCTCTCATGTATTCATATTAGTCCTCCAATTAATAAAAATTTCAATTATTTCCTGAAATCTTTAAAAATTTTGTCAATTACTAACTCAAATTGAAAATTAGACCCTCAAATTGAAAATAACTCCCTCAGATGTTCATATTTTGAATCCCTCAATTCTTAAAACATCTTGCAAACTACTAACTCAAATTTAAAATTAGTCCCTCAAATCTTTAAACATTTTGAAATTACTCCCTCAAATGTTCGTATTTTGAAATTAACTTCGCGATTGTATTCCAGAGCACAATCCCTCAAATAGTGGGTATATTCGCCCATCAATTTATGTTGGCAACAACTTTGTCTCATATGGGTGGTAAGCTCACCATAGTGATCACAATCATGGTTTCTTCTTTTTTTCAGTTTGAACCAAACACTAGAAAATGAGGGAATCTATTCTAATATCAACTACTTACTAAGAAAAGAGGTGGAAGTTACTTTTATCCCATGTTTTTTGGCGAAACAAACATAAGAAACACTTTCCATGAAAGTGAAGGAAACACAAGAAAGTAAAGGAAATTTTTTTTTGGAAAATGAAGGAAAGTAACCAAACAGGCCCTTAGCCTTTCTTTGTGCATCATGAGTACGAGATTTGGCTTGATGTGATACTTTGTAGTGTGTCACTTGGTTGTACTCCCAAGCGAATAAACGTTACTTTGGTTTGATACTTACATGCTTCTGGTTGATATGAACAAGATTATCAGCTCCCTCTAAATTTTATTACCCAATACCTTGAATAAGTTTAAAATAACAAAAAGTACATATTCTGGTCAACTATTTGTCCGTCATGCTTGTTTGTGTAATTTGTATGTTGTGTTACCATCATCAACTGGAAATTTGCAAGTGTAAATCAAATTATATGACGCTGAGATGATAAGGTATTTCAGCCCTTAGTTAAAAAAAAACATTTTATATGCCCTGCATTTTGTCTACCCATCTTAGATAGGTCATGCTTAAGTTGTATATTTATTTTGTTGATCATGATGATATTTCATTAAAATATTCTAATTTTGAATTATTGTACTTATACAGATTCTATATTCTGTCATGTAAATTATCAACTTGATGTTTGCTTTTCTTTCATAACTGATGATTCCTATTTCAAAGAACGCGGAATTGGGGATTCATACTGGCCATCTTCTTATCATCTACAATAGTTGATCTGCAGTAACAGATTCTGATGACCATTGTCCTCCATTTTGGTTGCCAGTTAAAAGATGTGGATAAAATTGCTTGCAGCTGGTTCAAATGATCTAACTCAACATAACTAACAGAAACTAAGTCACCTAGCGCTAATTGCTTTTATTCTGATGTTGTCTTTTAACGCAACCCTTTTACTAGAACCTGTATTGAATTTATGAACTAATAAGGGTTTCAGGTTATGTATTGCTATGCAGTGAATGGAAGATGTGCTTCACCAGCTCATCTCTGGTTGACAGGATGCACCGGAGAAATGGAAACCCAGTTACAAAAAATTCCTGGATTTGATAAGTGGATCATTGAAAAGGAGGCCAAATCTTATATTGAAGCTTTACAAGACCAGAAAGAGAATCTTGTCTATCTAACAGCAGATGCTGAAACCGTTCTCAACGAGCTTGATCCAATGAAAATTTATATTATCGGTGGATTAGTTGATCGGAATCGGTGGAAAGGAATAACCATGAAGAAAGCAAATGAGCAGGGAATTCAAAGTGCAAGACTGCCAATTGGGAATTATCTTAAGATGTCGAGCTCTCAGGTATGCCTGTTTTTGTGTATCCATTGTTTTTGGAAGCAAAATGTGTCCCCACCCCCCACCCCCTCAAAATATTCTGGCTTTGAGTGGCGTAGGGTTCGAAGAGAGCCAAACCATGGAAAACCAGTTTAGTGCCATTTTTGCTCAAAACTCAAATAGGTTAGGTCAAGTTTGGTTTGTTTATATTGCAAGCTTAAGGTGGTTGTTTCGAGTTCCGCTAATTTTGAGTTTTGAATGTCTGTGCTTTTCTTGTTAAACTTAGGGAAAAAGTGAATTAGCCACGTTTGAGCCAATTCTTCACTGTTACTATTACTAACTTGATTTAGCTTGATGTTTTCTAATAGAGATTACTTATTAACCATTCTTTATACGTTATGACACGCGTGCGCGCACACACAGAGCTTATTCAAACCGAACACGAGCGAGTAAGGCCAACTCAAGCCGAACTGAACATAAGAGAGCAAGCCCAGTTGAACATAAGCGAGCAAGTCTGACCATTTGTTAGTTGAGTGAGCCAAAAATCAGGTAATACGAAGTCAAAATGAATTATTTTGAAGTGGCTAGTTCATTTGACACCCTTATTCTAGTCTATCTTCGTGAGGTCTCTTACCATTTTTGAAGAAAAAGAGACCAGGATGATGTTTAGTAGTTGGTCAAGTAGAAACGTTTGAGCTCACATTTTTGTAAGTACCTCTCCATGTTTAATTCTTTTGGATTATTCTCCTTACCTGTGCTTTACTGAACAGGTTCTTACCGTCAACCAAGTGGTGGAGATACTTCTGAAGTTTTTGCAAACAAGAGACTGGAAAGATGCATTCTTTCAGGTGATTCCACAAAGAAAAAGAGATGAAGGCAAAGGTGATGCTGAGACGGAAGAAACTGGAGATGAGAATGCTGAAGATCCTGCAGAACTTGTTGCAGCAGATGAAGATGCATTGGAAGTAGAAGGTGCTGATAATCTAGAAATAGAAGAAGATGCTGATGATGATCAAGATATTGATCCTTTTGTTAAGAAAAAGCAACGTTTGGAAAAATCTGACAATGATGCCGGAAGAGCAATTGAAGAAGAGACGAATGGCATGAGAAATGAATCTCAGTAGAACAACACTACTTGCGCCTTGATTTCTGGTTGGGGTTTAATTTTGGATGTTTGACATCTAGCTTTAGGGGCTGTTTGGTTGTTGTTGGTAAAGTTGTGTTTTTATGACACAACTTGGAAAGTTGTTGTCCACCTTGGTAAAGTTGTGTTTTTATGACACAACTTGGAAAGTTGTTGTCCACCTCATCAATTTCACTTTTATACTTTTCTTTGTTTGTTTTTTATTCCATTGGAATCATAAAACACTTGTTTGGTTTGCAAAATGAAACTTTAATTGTTTGTTTGGAAAGTGTAAAAAGTGGTCCCTACTTAAATGATCATATTGATTGGAATTATTTTTTATTATTTTTCCTAACTTCAATGTTAGCTTTCTTCTAAAATCATGTCTTTTTTTCATGAAATCACTTTACAAGCCACATCAACATATAAAATCACTTTACACTATTTTCACAACTACAAACAAACAATTGAAAGTGATGAAAGCTGACATTGGGACCCATTTTTTTACACTTTACATCCTTTTACATGGTAAAAACATACAACCAAACAGCCCCTTACAGGATATCATTCTGATTGTACAATAGACGGCCTTCTTGATTTTTATTTTATTTTATTTTTTTTGCCCCGCTTTTCATCTTAATGAAAAGGATTAAGTGAATAATGCCCCCATAGACAAGCTTGACTATCGTAAAGGTAAGAGCCAAGGCCATGTTGCTAATGTAAAATTAATTGCCTCTTGTGATATATAGCCTTTGAATTAGAACTCGGATGCCCTATTCTGTATTCGAATGGAAAACATCAAGTTCATAGTTATGTTTTAGCACTCTTTCTAGCAACCCGCGCGGTTTTCTTGGTGTTCCAATTAGACTATTCGATGTTAGGACAAATTTTCAAAAGAGACCCATTTAGATTTTTATTCCCAAAAAACAACCTCATTCAAACATATTTACAAAAACCGATCTGGTTTCAGCCTCAGCGCTGAAACCAAGTCGGTTTTTAAAAAAAAATTCCGAAACTTCACGGGAGTTTAACTCCCGTGAAGTTTAGCAGATGTACTAAACTTCATGGGAGTTCAACTCCTGTGAAGTTTTATAATTCAAAATAAAATTTTGAACTATGAAACTTCACGGGAGTTGAACTCCCGTGAAGTTTAGTAGATCTGCTACACTTCACGGGAGTTCAACTACCGTGAAGTTTCGGAATTTTTTTTTTAAAAACCGACCTGGTTTCAGCGCTGAGGCTAACACCAGGTCGGTTTTTGTAAATATGTTTGAATAAGGTCGTTTTTTGGGATTAAATTCACAAATGGGTCTCTTTTGAAAATTTGTCCTTCGATGTTATCCTCTCCTTCAGAGCTGATGCTCATCGAATTATCTGTATCCTTGAAGTGAGGATAAGTGTTGTCTAAGAAAGTAAATGAGGGAAACACATGGTGCACGGGCTACTCTCTTACCGAGGGTCCTGGAAGATGTCCTCTCATTGCATGAACTTGTCTTAGACTTGCAGTGCAAATGGAAAAAAAAAAAAAAAATCCGATCTTCATATATTATGGAATTCTAGATGATAAAGCAGGTGCTCTTCATTTTTCAAATTTGCCTTTGCCAGGTATTTCGATTGCAGTTTTTGAGCAAGCTACTTCACTACTGTAACACTCCCGAAACCTTTTTAAGATTTACGTTCAAGAATTAGTGCCTGGAAGCCCAGAAGACGGACGTTAGTTTTTTCAGATATTCGGACTAATTTTGATTCTTCCGAACACCGACTCCCTCAAGGTCTCTTGACACGATTTAGGCTCTCACTCTCAGTATCTATGGGCATTTAAGATTGATTAAGAAGTTTGAGCGTCCGTAAAAGTATAAAAATGAGGTTACCACTAGAGGCGTTCTTGAATGTATTTAAATTTATAAACAACTAACATAGACTTTAGCTGTTTGGATCCAGATTTGCTCTCCAACTTCGCAAACCCAGCTCAATAAGGTTACTGATGAAACAGTTGAACCGAGAAGGTCATTACTGTTCAGAATCCACCTCTTTCCACGAAACTACAATCTGAAGAAGATCAACATTGGTACCTGAATTCAAGCCTGCCTTTTCTGAAACAAATTTAATTTCATTCCCAAGAATAATCTCAGTAGTTGCCAAAAAACGAAGTCTTATTCTGACCACCGATAAGGGGCTGTTTGTTTGCAAAAATGAGAAGGGGAAAGCCTGCCAAATCTGACAAAAACTGTCAGTTTTGCAAGAAAGCCTGCCAAAACTGACAGTTTTTGTCAGAATTGGCAGCTTTCCTCTAACTTTCTCCTTCAAAAAAAATGAAACAAACAGGCCCTAACTGAGAACAATCAAAAGGGATGCACTGCAATATTGTTCAGCATTTAAAATGTAGAATTTAGTCATCCTTGTTCAAAATTCTTCAAGGTTTAAATAAATAGATTAAAAAAAAGCAAACTAGCTGGTTTCTCCAAAAAGCAGAAATTGGAGAGGGGAATGAAGGTGGCTAGACCATCATTATGAGGTCAGAATTGGGGTTGGTGATCAAGAAGATTAAGTGTATGGAGAACAAGACAGTGAGGTTGTGAAAGGAGAAAGATCAGAACGCAAATCCGGTGTAAAATGATGATGAATATGCATATACGAAAGGAGCAAGGGTTCATGATAATATAAACAGCAGAATGGCCAGCGACCATCTATCGAGCTTTCATGAGCAAAAATAACAGAATACTTCGAATTTATAAAACTGAAAAAATAAGAGATGATTGCTGCCTTGCGCTTGAAACATTTACAACATGGAAAATGCATGGAGTTGAAATTATAAAAGATACACTTGCAACATAAAACTCGCTTGCTGCAGAATTCACAACCAAGTTGATTGCCTGGGCCAGGTAAACCATGTTCTTCCATATGGCATTGAAATAATGCATTAGCAGTTGCCTTCCACAAGTATGTCTTCGTAAGCTGAGAGCCCCAGCTTAGACATGATCTATACTCACATGTCTTCGTAAGCTGAGAGCCCCAGCTTAGACATGATCTATACTCACATAACTAATAAGATGGTAAGCCGACAAACATCCAGAACAAGTTAGTGGACAGCATTATAACCTTTATCCAAGGCCAAGGTTGCTTTATCCCCCTAACAACATTTACCTTATATTATCTTTCTCTTCAAAATTACTTTATCCATCGCATAACCTTTTCAACCTTTTTTTGTTCATGTGGCAGCTGTAACCATGTTCACATAAGTTATCTAGGTTCATATCCTCAAGACACTTTAGTACAGTTTCCAGGGTTCAGCCAGCATGATCAAGTTCAATCACTTCTGCCAAAAATACATTCTGTACATAACCTGCAGAGTTTTAAAAAAACGTGACAATATCAATATAGAAAGCCGCAGGTAGACATGTTTTTTTGAAAAAACAAGGCATTTGTCTTAAACAACATTGAGATCACTCTCATAAGCATAAGCTAATCAATTACATTCTCCTAAACAAAGTGACAATAGTAAGCGATTAAGCAATGCATCTGGCTAGTTATTGTTGGGAAGGAAGGAAGCTTCCCACTTATAAGGAGCTTTAAAATCAATCAATACAAGACTCTTTTCGTTTAAAACCAATCAATGCAAGACTCTTTTCTTCTTCTTCTTTTCTTTTTCTCACCCACCCCCAGGTATTTCCACTAAATACAAGAAATGCCTACAAATGAAGACTCTTTTCTTCTTCTTTTCTTTTTCTCACCCACCCCCAGGTATTTCCACTAAATACAAGAAATGCCTACAAATGTTTATCCTTAGAATCAAAGAGATATGAAGCAAGGTTTTACAATAATATATAACCATATTAATATACACAGATAAAATACATATGTATAAGATGATAAAAGGAAGCATGCACAAAAGCATTATATATCCATAATTCAATTAGTATTTGGATAATCTTTTAGTGAACTTCCTTTGGAGGCACTTAATGATTTGGTGTGACAAATATTAAATACATACATATGTACCATCCTTTTCTTCGTAGGGTACCTTAGTTTTCTAGCTTTCATGTAGAAACAAAACCCACCATTGCATGGATTGCCAGCCTAATTGTTAAACAACTGTGGCACAAAGTATAATAGTTAGTCAGTATAAGATATTATATAAAGCATTGTTTTTTTTTAGAATGGATAAAAGTTATAATAGCAGCAGATTCATCATAAAAGCTTCATAATTTAATACATGAAAACAAACAACTAACTCGATCTCGATATTTCAAGTTATCGAGCAGTATCACCTGCGAAATAGATTTTAATAAGTACATGCATATGTACATGTATGTTGACGAGCATGCGTATTGTAGACACCCATGCACCAATGAAAAGAATGGTTTTATTTTGGTGAGAGATGATTAACCATACATTCTAATTTAAATTAAGAACCCATGGAACTGGATTGGTACCAGATCGTTACACTTATTGCCAAGGCAACTTAAGCAAACAGCAGATTGATGGTTATGACTGAACAGCTGAAAGCAAGACACAAGAGATCAATGATGATAACTAAAAGGTACCTAACTGAACAATGAGAAAATCATCCCTGAAATCACCAATTTGAAACGACCATCTTGTGGGAAAGATGCTTCTAGGATGTTCATTAAACTGGCCTTCGAAGAATGCGGGTTGGAAGAACTGCCAAACTTGGATATTAGAATGTGCTGGATAATCTATTATCGTAAATCCAAACAAAACATACAATGATAAAACTGTTTTAAATACCTTCATTTAATCCAAAAGAACGTTTTCTGCAGAAAACTGTCGCTGGGTCAAGATGTTGTTTGGAATGAATTATTTGATGTAAGCAATCTCTTCTGCAACAATTAAAAACAAGCTAATTACATTGACAGAACAGAGTACTAACCTCTAAAAAGAAAATAAAGATGTCTTTACGGAGAATATTAATAGTGCACAAAACGGACATATAAAGCCCATAAAATTCCATCTACAAATCCAAGGAAAAGCCCATGTAGCAGGATATCCCAATGAAACATCATTTCTCAATTCTTTAAGGGCAGTTAAAAAGCATTAAAATTGAAAATTCCTAGCAAATCAAATAGATAGTTCTTCCAATTGGTAAAAATATTGACTATCCAGAAAAAATCCTGTACAGAAATCTAGCTTACGAAATGCACACTTCAGCACAATATGACAACCAAGAATGCATAACCACTACTATGCTTTACGATTAAACTGGTTACAAATTCACCAATATTCTTGAGATGTAAATAACTTCATGCTTCTACCAAGTGAGATCATATTATTTATCCATAGTTACCTAGCCCAGAAGGGAATGAATTTCTTCTCGCGCCCGGTTTCATCTCCGTCGTCATCATCATCAGAATCCTTGTATGGAGACATCTCGTATGATTGTAGATTTTGAGTTTCTTCATTGATGGAAATCCTTGTCTGGAGTACTTCTTGTGAGTCATCTGACTTGATAACCATCTTAAGAGCAGCAAATGAAAAGAGTTAATATGCAAATGATGAAATCAATATAAATAGAGTAAATACAAGCCAAATAGAGTTGTCGTTTTTAATAAAAAGATGCAGCTTTCAATGCATAAGCACAATGATGGTTAAGCCAATAGATATGAGCTATAATGCAGGTTTTCCGCAATAACTTGTCTTCTAGAAGCTATGGCAAGTCCCTCGCTTATCCATTATTCCCATGGCCTGGAATTTGACACCATTTGAATGATCCATGTCAGACCAATCATACGGAAAAAAAAATCACATCTTTCATGGAGTCTTCTACTCCATGGATGATCATTTCTATGGAAGAAAACATAGACTGTAATAAGGATGGAACATAGATTGTAATAAGGATGATGCAACTAATCATGATGATTTGCTGATTCAACTGTAACCCTAGCTCTGCTGGTTATTGTAAACAAATAAGATTTACTGAAAATAAACTGAATGAACAAATTCATAAGAGTAAACTATTTCTGTAAAAACTTCAGAAATTTTGTTAATGTTAATATGTACGACTTATTACCTTTTGAACATCGTTAGATTTCAGACAAAATTTTGAAGCTTCAATATTAGTACTGCCTTCTCTATCCTCGTCTGGTAAAGCATTGATAGAGTTTGGCTGCAGTTCTGTTTCTGTTTGATGCTGAAAATCATCATCTTTTTCTGAGTTCAGGTTCCCTTTTGCTTCTTCCAGCTGCTCTTTTTTTATCTGTTCATTCTCATCCTGTGACAAACAAATGTTATGCTGATAGACGCAGGAACTGTCAAAATAGCTCTCACAATATTTATAGACAAATTAACAAACCGCTGATGATGTTTTGTGTTCGAGCTTCTGCTCTACTTTTTCAGCATGGGGCCTTCCCTTCTGTTCTCTTTTCTGTCTCCGTGTTTCTTCGATGCATCTACGTTTTCTTTCTTTCTCCTTCCTTCCCTCCTCTTCTCTCAATCGTTTCCTTTCTGCGATATCTGCTTCTTTTTTCTTCCTTTCTTCCTCTTTCTGCTTTTGCATGACCTCCAACCTTCTTATGGTTTCCTGTTCTGCCTTTTCCCTCTCCAATTTCACTGCTGCCTTTCGCATTTCACGCTCATTTTGTTTCTTTACTTCAAGACGCTTGGCAGCTTCAGCAGCCTCTAGTGCCTTAACTTTGATGTCCCTTCTCCCTACAATCCACAAGTATAATGTTACAGGTCATCAAACTAGAACATCTTCTTAAGCTCAGCTATCAACATATGGAAATTGATGATTGTTAACGACAAACTCATATATACAAAGTACTATAAGAACAGGTTGTCCTTTTGTGAGAAGATGTCCATATAGTATTCTGCTGCAAGCAAGAAAACCAAAAAAGGATAACAATATCTCTTTACTCAATTGTGTAGACTCGTTTGTGGTTTCTCTTCTATAGTAACTCATGATATATGTCATCCCAATCAATTCTATCTCGTAAAAAATTAAAAATATGGGAGGAATTAATCTAATGATTATATTAAATAGTTTGATCATAATTTATCTATTCGTTCAAGTGTGACTCTGAAGGTCCTTTAAGAGAAATCAAGTATTTTTTATATTCATATATTAAAGAATCAAATACGAACATCCAAATATTCAATTAGCTTGATCAGAAGTTTTTCTTGGTACATATGTGTTTGACTCCTTATATTATATGTCACTACACGTGGGTAGCGTAACATTTTGACCTTTAGCCTACATTTTTTATAATAGATTCTACACCTACGTTATAAGGACTTGAAATCCAGCATCTGGCATCTTCCATCCCTCTTGCTCTCTCCAACTCCACAGTCAGAATTTTTAACTACAATGGAAATAACATCTTATCAAATAATAAGAACTTTTAAATTATTAGGTCAAATACGTAACAAATATATTGTAGTATTTGACAAGTGTCAAACTGGATTCAGCTTCAAAGCAGATCCTAATTACTATGCCTATGGATATGGAGATGGAAATCTATTTTGGATCTAGAACTGAAGATAATAGACAAATTCAGTAAAACTATCACAGCATTCAGTTAAATTCCAGCACACGATCACTTGCGTATAAATCAAACAATTGTGGGAACCTTTCTTTTCTTATTAAGAATGAAGCTTCCCTACTGTGTGAGTTCTTACTGCAAGTCCTAGAAAAAGGTAATAAACATCTTCTCACGAGAAATCAATTTTAAGTAAAATCAATATAACAATCCATACAAACAAAATGTTATGTACATTACTACTGAGTTAGCTTAGTTAATAAAAGTGGTGGATGCTGAATTCTTTATACAACCGCAACAAGTTATAGCTCAACAAACAAAATGCTATTCTCCTAAAGGCTACTAGAACTATTAAGAGGAAAACTCTGCCCACACATGTACGGGATTCTTTTCTTTTAGTAACATGAAAACTTTAAAATGACCTGTTATTATTTACATAACTGAACAGACTGGGAACAGACATTAACCTGAAAAAGTGGGAACCGTGGGATGAATAAGTAGGAAATGAAATGGATAGATGTTTAGTTGTTTACCTTTCAAGGGTAGAACAGCTTGCTTCTGACTAACAAGTGGAACAAATGAAGATATATTGGAAACCATGTTTGCAGGCCTACACCCTTTTTCCAAGTTACCATGACTTCTACTTCTTTCATTTGTTTTCCCAGACATCTTTGTCCTGCTAGACCTGTTACGAAGAGATAATGCAGCTTTTCGCAATTTTTTGCTAACTGTAAAGTCTGAATTCTCCTTTTCCCCTATCTTAGACTTATTGCCAGCATATCCTTTAGGCACACTCGAGAGGGCACTCATCTCAGACCTAAAGTAGGATTCTGAGTTAACGGATTCTAAACTGTCTCTATCTATAACTTTAATTGACTCCGACATAAAACATGGCTCATTTTCACATTTTGCAGTGATATCAGCAAGTGCTTTTCTGTTAGTTAATTCATCGTTCTTCCTTGAGAAAATATCCTCCTTAGAGACAGCTAACTCACCATTATTCCCATTTTCAATACTTGAGTTTTCATCAATCCGGAAACATACAAGTTCTGGGTTAGAATCCACCTTCTCTGAACTAGCACCACTTCGCTCTGAAACCACTTTCTGGCCAAACTTCACTACCGGAGGGGTTAAAGGAGGCTTCCAAGACTCTCGGTCAACTCCAGTGCTTGAAGGCATACTATAAGAATATGTCCTTTTGACAAAAGAACTATCAGACTGTGCCAAGTTTCCCTCGTCACTTTCCCTAAACTGTCTTATATCTGCATCATTTAAGTGAAGAAAAGAACTGAGGTTAATGTGCTCCAATAGTCCTGCGGGGAGAGACTGGTACACATCGGGAACTTTATGTATTTTATATTTTGAGGAAGTGCAGGACACAGGGGTAAGCACATGGTTTGATTTGTATAACTGCTCAAAAATAGAAGCCCGTTCTCTTACCAGACTTGGAAGATTAGATTCATTGGAAATCAGATCATCACCCACCAGTGAAGGAAATTCTATGCTGAAACCTTCAAATTCAGGCATGGTCTCATCAAAATAAGTCTGGCCAATGCATATGCAAACTCGTCTCAGTATCACACAGTTCTCTATCCTTAGTAAATTCCTCAGAGTTAGGAGGACATTTTGAGGTTTCATGCAGAGAATTCTGACAATTGTCCTTGTTATAATGCTTTTGATGTTTAGAGGTTGTTTCTTCAGACATTTTGGTTTCATCTTTCAGACAACTTCCTGACTTTGTATTTGCTTGATCACAAAGAAGTTCTTCCTGTATATGCAGAGGATCTCGACAATTGACTAAATTATAGTGCTTTTGACAATTAGAGGTTGTTGCTTCAGATATGTTTGCTCCCTTGCCATTCTCTTTCAAATAAGAACAGCCCTGAAGACAGAATTTTAATAGAACAGGTTAGGATAAAACAATACAGAATAAATAAATTGCAAACTATGTATTCTACTTTCAGCTTAAGAAAAACTGAAAAAAGAGTATATAGTATCACAGAATGACAAGACAGCGAAGTCTTTCATGCGGTTCACGTACCTCAAATGTAGAGCTTATCTTGCTTCTGTGCAGAGATTTTGATGGGACCTCCAATTCAGCATCCAGTATCCCAGTTTCTGTCTCTGCTGAAATGGAAATAGGATGAAGCTCCAATCTGGATTCAGTTTCTATCCCAGATCCGCAATCATTGCTATCCTTGATGGACTGGAAACAATTGCACCTTGGAGAAATTGCAAAGATATTACTTGACCTGTCATCCACCTCTCTACTTTTTGGTGATGAGATTTCACATGCTTGAGGAACAGCATCCTCCGCTTGTTTCAAGCAACTTGAAGAATTACTCTTGCTTGATCTAGAGGAAGCAACATTCATATCATGGTTACTCCGACTCCTTAAATAGTACCTTGACTGCGTTGGTTCACCTTGGCTGTCAGTACAGTTGGGTGTGATCCAGCCACATGCTTGAGGAATACTGCCCTTCGCTTGTTTCAAGCAACTTGAAGGATTGTTCTTGGTTGATCTGGAGGAAGCAATATTCATAGCATTGTTACTCCCGCTCCTTAAATAGTACCTTACTTGCAATGGTTCACCTTGGGTTTCAGTACTGTTGGGTGTAATCCAGCAGCGATTAACAGCTTTTTCTGTAGCATCCTCTAGACATGCAGAAACCTCACTTTTGTTGCTATCTGGAAGCAGAGAATTTTCTTCAGAAACATTTGGCAGATAAGAACCATGATTCTCAATGGAATTAGGGGAACTCCTTAAGCAGAGCTTTTTGTTGTGTTGCCCACCAGCTAGGCTTCCTATAGAACTTTTTCCATTGACATCTTGCCTGTAACTTTGATGACCTGAAAACCCTTTCAGGGTTTTAGAACTTTAAACATATAATCTATAATAGAAGGTTAACAAATATTTGCAATTTCAGATATAAAACATAAAACATGATTATTAAAAAAATGTAGCATGTCTGAAGAGATTGTACCTACTGTGTGGACAGAATGACTTTCTGAAGCCTCAGATTCAAACAATTGTAGGCCATCCTGCTCTGCACCATAATTTGAAAGTCTGACATCTACATCCATTCCGTGCTTTGAGACATCCTTCTCTGAACCATCCACTTTTTCAAGATCTCTGTCAAAATCATTTTCCAGACTGAGCTGGTTCTTCTTTTTAGAAGAGATGTAACAGATCTTATTCAACCAACAGTCCTCCTCAAGGGCATCAACGAGAAGCTTTTTTGGTTCAACCATAGGAAATGTTTCTGGCAGAAGAGGTTCTGTGCTACTTGACATTTTTAAACCTGAATGTACATGGGAGGCTGTATCTAATCCAAGCTCAATTGCTGCAGTTCTGGCCATACATGGATGGCTGCCCCCATCATTGCTTGTAGGAGTACATGAAAGGTGATTTAACTTTACAGATGGAAATGACTGAGTAGCAGTTTGAATCTCGTCTTCGTGATATACATCAGTTTCAACACAATTTGAAGGCTTAAGTAGTTCCGATAACTTGTCAAAAGACTGATGACTGCCAGTCTGAGCTGCAGATCTCGATCTTGATCTAGTGACTCTACCACCATCTATATTGTGATGATAGTCTATCATAGCTGAAGATTTTCTAGCATTATCAGCCTTCACAGGGATTTCCCTAGATTGAATCAACCTGCCAGCATGTTCTTCCCCAGTAATCATATCTCTAAGATAATTGAAACTTTTCTCTTGCTCGCCGGGATGAATATTCTGGCCCTTTTGCCTGCAATTTGGACGTTGCATTCTCGCAGAAGGGTCAAACTCTGCAAAGGGTTCTACAACTTCTGATTCTGCCATCATACCAGGATTTAGCTCACCGGCACTAGGCACTGCTACATAGCTACTTTCTGTAATGAAATACTTATTTGAAGCACATGTTTCCATGAATTTTTTGGATTGGCATACTTTATTGCTCATAAAAGCTGGGAGAGTACAATAAGTCGAGTTGGTTGCTGAAGGAGTGGTAGTTTTTGGTAATGGGAATAACATCCCAGAATAAAGCTGCTCTGTAGTCAATTCTGCACCAGATGAATAGATCGTTAACATAAGCAAAAAAATGAATAAAAGAGACAGAATATCAATACAGTTATAGATGTAGAATTCAGCAAGTGACCATGCCTTTTCAGACCTCACTTCATCCAAAAAAATACAGAAAGCATCTAACTTTAAAAAGTAAATTGATAAGGAGCATAAAATTCCATAATCCTCTCTTAATCATGCACACAGACTACTGCACAGAAAAGCTTGAAGAAAAGAGAAACAACCTTAACATGAATGAAAATACGAAACTTAAACTCTGCTACCGCTGACGAGGGTTTGAGAACAGATTAACATTATTCTAATATGTTAGAAGTGCAAGATATGCTTTCGAAATACAAATGTTTCAGTGCCATATATTAATCTTATAGCTCATATTTATTTTATCAACAAAAAAGTTGTGGACACAGGAACTCTTCATCCATCTAAGATTATGGCTCGTCAATGGAATTAGTGTCTTGACCTCTTCAGCACCCTTCATTGAAAGCCTTCTTCTGACTCTAGCTCCTTCTCCACCGCCCACATTTACTCTAGAAAGAAAGAAAGCAACACAAAGTGCTATTGCACTCTGAAACAAGAAAATGGCTCCTCTGCATTAACAATTAGTAAGATATTTCTTATATTAATTGCATTTTGAGACATTGATATGATTAGTAAAACTTGGTTAATAAAGAATCATTTTGCTTTCTAGTAGGCATCAGTGTTTGTTTTTCTGAGCTTGGATTAATCATGTTCCATCATCTATCCCAGGATATAACTATGCATTGTTTTCACTTTTCAGAAATAAATATTGATCTTTATTTGACTCTAAATTGGTTGGCGCCTAGTACGGTACCATCTCAAAGAATTTTACAAAAGTAAGCATGAAAAATTCAGGTAAAGAATAAGAAATTCTAATCTATATAAATAAAAAGAATGTTCTCTTCCAGCAGGGAGATTACAGCTCTACGATTAAACTTTCAACTGCAACTATGATAGCCATAAGATATGTAAGGTCAGCTTTCACACTTAAAATTTTCCAGATATTCAAACACTTAAAACAGACTTTCAAACTCTTAAAGATTCAGTAGATATTGAAAAGTATCAACCTTTTTCTAGAATGCCAAAATTCACAAATTCCATTTTGGTATTTCAGGATAACAATTTTGTGTAGCTGATCAATGACAATGCACGCTGCGAACCATGTCAGATATTTAAAACTTAAACCATATGTTGTGTTCTACATAGAGAAGGTAATTATTCAAAAAGTATCATGAAAAATAATCAATGATAAATGCACTGTAATATGTCATCTTAACTTGCACTTTCCTACCTCTTGTTTAAACTTGCAAAGTCATTAAGGCTAGAAAACCCGTAAACTTAACTACTTCCAAACAACTATGTTCAAGAATGCAAGAATAAACAATGAAACTACTGTGTGAAGTAGTATTTGATAATTCATTGCCCTCAAATTTTATTTCAAAATTAGGTTTCAAAAAGATAACTCACAATTTAACGGGCAGTGAAGAGAACTTCACATGATTTCATGAACCTATGATGAATTACAATGGTCCCGAAATATACTATCTTTTCTCTATAATTTGGATAGACCAGAGAATTTGATCACTGAAGCAGAATGTGAATACCCACATTTAATTAGAAGCAAAATCAAATTTGAGTTCTTTAGCTTATCCTCACAAAATATTTTTGTCCAAACTCATAAGAAAAATGTGTTTCTTACCTCAATAGTATGTGAAATTTTACAGTAAAAGTCAAAAATAAAGACTTTGAAAATTTGTAAATCCCAACCATGAAAATTGTGATCACTTTCACATGAACAATGAGTTTCATAACTCAATAGTTATATATTTAAAAAAAAAAAGAAGTGAAAAGTCAAATTTTGACAACTTTGGAGCTCTATAAATTGAACCCAATCTTGAGTTTCACCCTCGCACAAGAGAAGAAGTTCTAAGAGTAGAGAGAGGAAGGACAAGAGTAGAAAGTTAGGAAAGTGTTTAAGTTTCTATTTTTAATCTTGTAATTTAGCTAAAATTTTATTAAAAAAAAGTTTACCTCAGTCCTTAAATTCTAGATATTTGCTTTTAAGTCCATAAACTACATTTTACCTTACAAATTAATAAAATGATTAAAAGTGATTAAGAATGATCGTTCAATGTTTAAGGTAGAAATTCATATGTGATGTATTATTATAGGATTGAGCTAGGGGTTCGTGTATCAAAGTAATTATGGATTTGCTAATGTGAGTTGATTTCTTCCCATGAGTTATTTCAAATTGTTTTGATATAAAATAATATATAAATTATATATTATGTTAAACAAATCTTATTTTTATAAAAAAAATGTTGGATCAGACATGTTATATCTTGTTTACTTATGAAAAAAAATGTTAAAAGAAGTTGGTATTGTGATAATTATTTAGTTTTGTCACAATGAGTAATTTTAGACTATTAGTATATGAAAGTTACTAAAACCATGTTATCAAATATACTCGACTTCATCATTCATTTGACTTTCATGGAAAAATTCAAATTTGACAAAAATATTATTTTCCTATAAAAATTTGTGAATTTTCTAATTTCATGTAAAAGATGAGAAAGTTATGAAAGTGTTAGAGCATACTAAAGTGCTTTTTATACAAGTAGAAATTACATGTGCTATTTGAAGTGAAAAAGTTAAGGATTCTGAATACTGAAAACCCTCAGAATAGGGGCACCTTTTAGCAAATATGTGAATAGGGCCTTTTTGGCAAATATGTGAATAGGGTCTTTTTGGCAAATATGTGAATGTGGGCTTTGTGGCAACCTATAGTAGTGCTCAGTATACTCTGCCCCTAGGTTGACTTATATATGATTGATGTGCATTCCCATACCACTATGGAGTGATTGATTTGTTTAAGCCTACCATATGTCATTGAATATACTAAATACTGGCCTTTTGGCAAATATGTGCATAGGGCCTTTTTGGGAAATATATGAATGTGGCATTTGTAGCAACCTATAGTAGTGCTCAGTATACTCTGTCCTTGGGTTGACTTATATATGATTGATGCGCATTCCCATACTACTATGCCATAATTTTCGTAGCCTTAATGTGATGACTTGAGGTGATTTTTTTAAATGTGATTTATATGGACAATTACACTACAAAGGTAATCAGTGTTTGTTTTCATTGTTTTTGTTTAGAAACTCTTTATATAATGTTGCTACTGCATCTTATATATGTTAGAAAAAATTTTATTTTGATATCTAATATGCTCCCTGATCATGCTTTCAGTTGACAGTGATTTATTTGAAGATTTAGTAGTAGTAATTATTAAACTTGTCTGATCAGTTAATGAGAAGTTATCTATTCATTGAGTTGTGAACTCACCATTTATATTCTATTCTTTTCAAATAAATATTAGACTGTTCTGCCCTTAGCTTGGAGAATTAACATCTACTGGGGATATTATTAGCAATATTATGGTTATCTTAGATAAATCGACATAATTATGTAACAAGAGTCTAATGACTCACTAGTTGTTATATTTGTATTGTGCTTGTATGTGGTTTTTCTGCGACTTCTAAACTTCAATAAAGTTTTCTTTTATGAAGTATTTGTTAAAAATATAGAAGCGCACAATAGGCTTGACATGTGTTCACGCATGTGCCGTCATAGTCATGAACCTCCGATTATACTGTGCAGTTTGGGGGCATGATGCAGCATCACTACAATCTATTGAAGCCTCAAAATGAAATATTTTAGTTATTTTAAAAGTAGAATAGTTTTATTGAAACAACTTTCAAGCCTTTTATCCCAGATTTTTTGGTTTGGCTACATAAATCCTACTCTTCCATTCAATTTTGTCAAGGCTATCTCCTCCGCTAAGTTAATTATTGTTGTATTCTCGATACCAGCTCGTAAGCAATTCCACTTAGGCCTATCTCTGGTGCTTCATCCACTAATTATAATCTTCTCACTTCTAATCGGTGCATTTAATTGCCAACTGTTAGTCAAAAAGGGAGGAAGCTTTTTTCAGTGATTGGCTTTCGGTGACCGTTTTTTTTTTTTTTTTTTTGAAAGAGGGAAGGAAAGGACGATGCCTTTGTCAAATAGCAGGAAGAAAAGAAAAGGAGTACTTAGGATATAAAACCCACACCCCTCTTCCCTTAACACATCATCAAATCAGCTTCTGAATCTTCTCAAGTAAGAGAGAAAGAGAAGCTCGAGAGAAAAAAGAGAGGCTGAGAGAAAAGTACTCTGTGAGAAAAAAAAACTGAGAGAGAGCACTCTGTGAGAAAAATTAAGAGCAATTTTTCAGAGTGAAATTTAGGTTGTGAGTATTTGTGAGAGTGATTGTAAATTTTTCTCCCATTAGTGAAAGATTTGTAGCAGTCCGTGAACGTAAACAATTTTGTACCGCACCACGTTAAATTTGTGTCCTCTTATTTGCGCATTTATTTCGCTTTCTCATAAATCGGAAAAAGGAGAATTTGCGTAGTTTCTCAACAACTGGAATCAGAGCTCTGATTGTGACGTCTGTCAATTTTTTTGCGAGATTACTATTCATGTGAATAGTGAATTTTGTGAATAGTGAAATTTTACCGATGGTACCAACTTGTCAGCAGAGGTGTCTTAATACACGATGAATCGCATAAATTATCAGAAACGATCCAGAGAAAGTCAGATTCGAGTGGGAGCAATGGCTACAGACGAAGGGAATGTGAGAATTGAGAAGTTTGATGGTGCAAACTTTGTTTTGTGAAAGATGCGGAATTGCAGATCGAAGATTATCTGTACCAGAAGAAGCTGTATCAACCTCTCTCAGAAAAAAGCCAGATGACATGAAGGATGAAGAGTGGGCTCTCCTCGACAGACAAGCCTTTGGAGTTATCTGATTGACGTTATCTCGCAATATTGCTTTCAACATAGCAAAGGAAAAGACTATGACGGGTCTTATGGCGGCTCTCTGCAGCATGTATGAGAAGCCCTCCGTCTCAAACAAAGTTCACTTGATGAGACGACTGTTCAATTTGCGGATGACAGAAGACGCATCGGTAGCTCAACATCTCAATGAACTCAACATAGTCACAACCCAGTTGAGTTCGGTTGGGATTGAATTTGATGAAGAAGTACGAGCATTGATACTTTTGTCTTCCCTACCAGAAAGTTGGAATGCTACCGTCACAGCTGTGAGTAGCTCGTTGGGAAGCAACAAATTAAAATTTGATGATGTTCGTGATCTGATTCTCAATGAAGAAATTCGGCGAAGAAAATCAGGTAAAGCTTCTATCTCCTCAGCTTTACACACGGAATCTAGGGGAAGAACTTCAGAAAGAAGTTCAAATCACGATATATTAAAATCTAGAAGGAACAAATATAGATCGGGAAAAAATGATTTCAAATGCTACAATTGTGGCAAGAAGGGTCATTTCAAGAGAGTGTCGGGCACCAAAGAAAAATACTGATGCACAGGAGTCTACCACGTGACTGAAAAAGGAGGTGATGCTATGATTCTAAACATTTACAGTCTGATTGAATCATGGATTCTTGATTCAGGGGCATCCTTCCATTCCACCCCATGCAGAGAAATCATGAAGAACTACGTCAGCGGTAATTTTGAAAAGGTACATCTGCTATGATGAAACCTTGAAGATTATTAGCAATGGAGACATCCGATTAAAATTGTCAAATCAGACCATATGAAAGCTGCAATGAATGAGACATATTCCTTGCCTTAAAAGGAATTTGATCTCTGTGGGACAACTTGATGGAGAGGGTTACTGTACAACCTTCTCAGATCATGAATGGAAGATTACCAAAGGAACATTCGTCATTACTCGAGGTAAGAAAAGTGGTACTCTCTATGTAACCTCTAACTTAGAGAATATCATTGCAGTCACAGATGCAGATAAAAAATCAAACATATGGCACCAAAGGTTTGGCCGTATGAGTGAGAAAGAGATGAAGACGATTCTCTCAAAAGGGAAGCTATCGGATCTGAAGAATGTAGATGTCGGCCTATGCGAGGATTACATTTTTAACAAACAGAAGAAAATTAATTTTGTAAAGATTGGCAAGACACCCAAGACAGAAAAGTTAGAATTGATTCATACTGACATATGGGGACCATCTCCAGTTTCATCCCTTGCAAGCTCACTGTACTATGTCACCTTCATTGATGATTCTACAAGGAATGTGTGGGTCTATTTTCTGAAGAAAAAAATCAGAAGTCTTTGATATCTTCAGAAAATGGAAGGCCATGGTTGAAAATAAAACTGGTTTGAAGATAAAACGATTGAGGTCAGACAATGGAGAGTACAAAGACAGTAGATTCAAAGAATTTTGCGCAAACAACGAGATCAAGATAGAGAAAATAATTCTCATGATACCGCAGCAGAATGGTGTAATGGAACGCATGAACAGAACTTTGAATGAACGTGCCAGAAGCATGATGATACATGTCGGCTTGCCCAAGTTCCTATGGGCTGAAGCTATCAATACCGGAGCCTATCTAATCAATCGCGGGCCTTCAGTTTCCTTAGATGATGAAATACCAGAAGAACCTTGGAGCAGAAAAGAGGTAAACCTTTCGCATTTAAAAATATTTGGTTGTATCTCTTATGTACACATAGATTCTGCTGAAATAAGTAAACTTGATGTAAAATCTAACAAATATGTTTTTGTTGGTTATGGTGATGATGAGTTTGGTTACCGATTTGAGAATTATGAAAATCAAAAGATCATCAGAAACAGAGATGTCATATTTAATGAGAATGTGATGTACAAAAACAGATCAACTGCAGAATCAAGTAGCTCCAGTACAAAAGCTAAAATAAAGAAATTTGCTGAATTTGAGGAGATTTTTAAAAATGATGTTCAGACTAGTCCTGAAGTAATTCAAGAAGAACAAACACGCCAGAAGTGAGATGCTCCTCCAGAATTCCTAAACCAACCCAGCGTTATTCGGCTTCTTTGCACTACTTGTTGCTGACTGACAGTGGTGAACCAGAGTGTTATGATGAAACAATGCATGTGGAGGATTCAGTCAAGTGGGAGTCTGCTATGCAAGATGAGATGGACTCGCTTATGTCAAATCAGACGTGAGACTTAGCTGAATTACCACCAGGTAAGAAAGCTCTTCATAACAAGTGGATTTACAGGATCAAAGAAGAACATGATGGGAACAAGCGCTACAAGGTAAGATTGGTTGTCAAAGGCTTTTAACAAAAAGAAGGTATTGACTACAATTAAATTTTCTCTCCGATCGTAAAACTGACAATAATTAGACTGGTGTTGAAAATTATAGTCGCTGAGAATTTATATCTTGAGTAATTAGATGTAAAAACAGTTTTCCTTCATGGTGATTTGGTGGAGGAGACATATATGAAGCAACCAGAAGGCTTCATAAAGGCAGGTAAGGAAAATCTAGTATGTCGTTTGAAGAAGAGCTTGTATGAATTAAAACAAGCTCTCAGACAATGGTACAAGAACTTTGACAACTTTATGGGTAGTAACGGTTTCACTAGATGCCAAGCAGATCATTGTTGCTATCTTAAAAATTTTGACAATAGCTTTATTATTTTATTATTATACGTTGATGACATGCTCGTTGCAGGTTCAGATTTGCAAGAGATTATAAATTTGAAGCAATAATTATCAAAGCAGTTCTCAATGAAAGATCTTGGCGCTGCAAAGCAGATTCTTGGAATGATGATCAAGAGAGACACGAAGTCTGGGACTTTGATGTTATCACAGGCTGAGTACATCAACAAAATACTCTCCAGGTTCAATATGCAAGATGCTAAACCAGTGGGTACACTTTTAGATGTTCATTTCAGACTTTCCAAAGAGCAGTCACCGACGATAGAGGAAGAACATGCACACATGACGAAGGTCCCGTATACCTCAGCAATTAGAACTCCGATGTATGTCATAGTTTGTACAAGACCAGATATTGCTCAAGCAGTAGGAACTGTTAGCAGGTACATGAATGATCCGGGCAAGGTACACTAGGAAGCAGTCAAATGGATCCTCAGATACCTACGGGGTACCACAGGTAAAGTACTTTGTTTCAAAGATGGAGATATAATACTAATAGGTTATGTGGATGCTGATTTAGCAGGAAATGTTGATGTCAGAAAGAGTACTACAAGATATGTCTATACTCTAAGAGGTATTGTGGTGAGTTGGGTTTCTTAACTGCAGAAGATAGTTGCACTCTCCACAACTGAAGCAGAATATGTCGTCGTTACAAAAACCAGCAAGGAAATAGTTTGGCTTCAAAGTTTCTTGAATGAGTTAGACAAGAAACAAGAAGACAATGTCTTATATTGCGATAGTCAAAGTGTTATTCATCTAGCGAAGAATCCGTCTTTTCATTTCAAAACGAAGCACATACAGATGCAGTATCATTTTATCTGGTCACTTCTGGAAGATGGAATTTTAAAACTTAAAAAGATCAGTGGAGCTCAAAATCCGGTAGACATGCTGATAAAGGCGATGACTACTGACAAACTGAAGATGTGGTCAGGTTCAGTTGCCTGTAATAGTATCAAGACCGGGGAAGAGCTGCTACATAGATCGAGATATGAAGACAGATTAAAATGAGTCTTCAAGTGAGAGATTGTTAGTCAAAAAGGGAGGGAAGCTTTCGATGATTAGCATTCTGTGGCCGTTTTTTTCTTTTTTGAAAGAGGGAAGGAAATGATGATGCCTTTGTCAAATGTCAGGAAGAAAAAAAAGGAGTATTTAGGCTATAAAACTCCCACCCCTTTTCCCTTAACCCATCATCAAATCAGCTTCTAAATCTTTTTAAGTACGAGAGAAAGAGAAGCTCGAGAGAAAAAAGAGAGGCCGAGAGAAAAATACTCGGTGAGAAAAAAACTAAGAGAGAGCACTTAGTGAGAAAAATTGAGAGCAATTTTTCAGAGTAAAATTTGGGTTGTGAGTATTTGTGAGAGTGATTGTAAATTTTTCTCCCCTTAGTGAAAGATCTGCAGCAGCTCGTCGACATAGGTAATTATGTGTCGAACCGCGTTAAATTTGTGGGTCCTCTTATTTGTGCATTTATTTCGTTTTCTCATAAATCTGGTAAAAGGGGAATTTGCGTAGTTTCCCAACACCAACATAGCACATGACCAACCCGTTTCAAACGATTCTCTCATTTATCATCAATAGGAGTCACCTCTAACTTCCAAATGGGTTTCATGGATAAATCCCAAATACCACAAAAACAGCCACAGGATGCCGTTTTATATCCTAATCTTTTTATTAATTCGCCTCATTTTTAAATTTTTCAAACAAAAAGAAACCACCATACAAGCAGCTCAAAATGGACTATTTTGCATCAAAATTTCCCAAAAAACGTGTTCCTTTGCATAACTTTGGGCAAAAATGCTACAAAATCTTAAGTTACCAAATAAAACTAAAACCCTACATCGGTTGTATTCCACATCAAGAACTGGAACAAAAGAGGGAAAAGACGATACCTTTAGGATCAGCGTAACCGCATCCATCAAGTCCCTGGGCCCAAAGCCATGGCGGAGGCTGCTTACCATCAGCAAGGACATTGTACGCTAGAGACTCTTCATACGACACGATTTGATGTTTGAGCTGGCCCTCGATCCATTGCTTTCGATCCAAGATTTGCATGAATAAATGCTCTACTCTCGACATTTCCATCGCAATTTGGGGTTGGAAACCCTAAGTAGAAGAAATTTGGGAGGAGGAGAGTGAGTGATTAGAATTAGGGTTTATTCTTCTCCATTGATGAGAGTGAGGGGAGAGAGAGGGAGATCAGAGAGTGGGGATTCGAAAATTTTGAAACGATATGGCCGCGAGGGTCCACTGGCGTAAAGTGTTCCTGCGGAGAAGGTTTGTAAGAAGTCGCTGTGGGTAACGGTGTAGAAGAACCAATGGATACCCAATAGATATTTTGCTGGATTTTTTAACAAATCAACCCCTAACTTACGCGTATTTGGATATTTGCTCACAATATTTTATTTTATTTTTATTTTGTTTTGTTTTTTATTTTATTATTTTACAGATTTTTTTATAACCCAGCCGAGAATCTAATCCAAAACCATCAGAGCCATATTAAAATCTTTTAACAGTCTAGATCACCTACAGTGGACTCTTCACAAATTTTTAAGGGAAATTTTGAAGCGTATAAAATTTTTATTTAGTACTACAATTAGGTTTATCTGAATCAAATTAGTCTATTTGCTAATACCATTTCCAATCATTTAAACTTAGGTGAACTAAAACTGAAAATAATAAAGAGTTGAAATATATTATTATCACGGTTCATCTCTTCCTCTTGTATACACCAAAAGATCATATTTATGATTTCTTTTTTATTAATAAAATGAAAGAGTGCGAAACTGATTTTATTTTCCTTTCAATTTTTACATTCATAGCCAAAGAAGAATACGAGTGTGAGGTTGGAGACATTTGTATATCAAAAAGTTTGTTCCAATACCACTATCATGTTCTAACAAAAAAAAAGATAGTATCATGCATGTTCAAATTAATATACAAAAAGAACGGTATGATACTTATATGATACCATATTCATATTTTGATGATACTTGTTCGTCACATTGTCACTTTTTACTTCTTAATTTGTGAATCATAATTATGTGTAACGAGATTTTTTTAAAGATAAATATTTTTTAGGAAAAGTAGTTCAAAGAGATTGTTTTTAAGAACCATTTGAGAACAAAAAAAAAACATTGAACTGATTCTTGAAATACTATCTGGGCCCGATATGTGTGATATAATAATATAAATCTTCTCTCACATACGAAGTTTATGATGAAACGATGACTATATATATATGAGTATATAATATACTATATATATATATATATATATATATATAACTATATATATATATATGATATATATATGATATACATATAGAGAGAGAGAGAGAGCGAGAAATCAATGGAGAACATTGGTATGCAAGATTTCTCCATTGAACTTGTAGTGAGGTGACCAAAAAAATGCAGAACGATACATCATGCCTCGGAGAAGAGAGCCTCAATTATCTCATCTCTAGTAGTTTCTATACACTGATTAAACCTACTTAAAAAAGAAGGCTCCATCTCCGAGCATGAAAATATAGGGGCTAGATTCTGGCCACCTCACTACCAATTCAATGAAAGAATTCGATACGCAAGGTCTCATATTTCCATAATAATATATATATAATACTATATATAATAGGTTAATATACTATATTATATATACTAAATATATAATATATATAGTGTAGACAACTAAATTTAATACGGGAGGTTGTGAGCCGCTAATAGGCGTATGTAGTAAAATTTCCCTACCGCTGCAATAAGTGTATGAGCATGTGAGCCCCCTACCTAGTCCAGCTAACTTTTAAATACGGTGTGGGGAGACTTGCAGCATGTCATTAAGCCGAACTAGGCACGTATGGTACAATTCCTACGCTTGGCAGCTTCACACCCCCCCGTTCTCACTGTCTACATGCACTTCACTGCTCTCTCTCTCTCTTCGGTAGCTTATATTTTTCTCACTGTTTATTTACTTTTAAAAAGAGCGCTCAACGAGTTTTTTCAAAAGCAAACCTTGCAAAAGAAATTTAGGCGCAATACACTCTTCTGTTGACATATACTAAATGGTACTTCATAAATATTTTTATTCTATTCTGGTCTTTGACTTTTGTCTATGGGAGTGTAGAATGGACATAATTCCTCCGGGGAAGAAAAAATTGTGATTCCACAAAAGAGTGTTGTGAAACAAATTACTTTAGTAGGTTCTGTGCGCTCTTGACAAGTTTTGTTTCAGTTTGTTCGTAGAGAAGTTTGCGGGAAAAAAAAAAAGAAACTTAAAATCGTTCTAGTGAAGCGTTCGCAGCAATTTGTTGATCCTTTTTTCACATATTATAAGGTATTTGAAGGGTCAATTGCCTGTATACGCTAACTTAGCCGAATCTTTAACTACTTAGAAAAATAGAAGCCCTAAACTTTTTATGACAAATAACGGTACGCCTCGCTCAAATTGTCATAGACTTAATTTTTTAAGTTGGAGCCAGGGTTCGAGAGAATGGATATGTTAGCGGGCCTTTCATTAAGTGCCTAACATTGGCTTTCTGATAGCAACTCCAGACGGTACTTGTCAAATTTACAGCTGACTTCCTCTTTCTTTTTCTCCGCACCTTGATGGTATTCAAAAAAAAAATATTACCATTATACTATATATATTATATTATATATTATATATATATATGATATATAATATATAATATACCATTTTAAATGCTAGGATGATCTCACGCTACATTTAGCAAAACAAGCTTATGAGAGAGTAGTGAACTCTATATGCACCAATTTGATTAAAACATTCCAATAGGACTTGCAACTCCACACGAAATTAATTATTACATATTTTATCTTCAAGAATAAGGGTCTTAGCCTGATTTTATTCTGGCTAGTCATTATTCATCTTACCAGAACAAACAAATATTATATCATATATCATATTGTATATATACTACTACAAAAGTGCAAGCTGCATATTTGGCATCTTATTGGAGCTTTGACTCTTTATCTTCCTACTGTTAGATCTTATAAAAAAACTTAAGATCTAAACCATAAAGCCATGATTAATTCAAAGAGATTTACAAGAATCAAAAGAAAAGAGCGGAATCTTATACCTGAATCCATAGATTAAACTTGAGATGAGTTTTAGATCTTCTAACCTTAGGGTTTCTCTAGCCAAATTTCTCTCTAGATGGGGTGAAGAGAATTAGAGAATATAACCCTAGATTAGGGACCATAACCCCTTATTTATATATATTGTACATTTACAATTTGGCCCCTCATCAAATCACAATTACAACCTGGTATCTGCACATATAACCCCATGATTATATTTAAATACCCATTAACCCAAATTGATTGATCACTTTAGTGGGTTATCCTGAAGGATAGCAATACACACAGATTAATCATATGTGCCCACAAATAGATTTAATTAGATTTAAATCCAACAATCTCCCACTTTGGCACCATATGATTCCTTAAATTGTGTATAACCTTATGAGCTCAAAATTGCTATCACTGAAAAGGTATTTCCAAATAATCTCGTCCATTGACTATATTAATATAGGATCAAAGCGGCCTTCGTCACATTTATCGTGACTCGACCCATCAATGGTCACATATACCAATACAATCAAACGACATAGATCAATCATGGATATGCAGCATGAAAATTACATGCAATGTGATCAGTACATGTCTATTTTTAACTGGTCCTACTTTAGTGAGGTCAAAACCAAACATAATGTAACAGAGTGTCTTAATTGAATACTTTATTCTGATCAGACAATATAACCAAACACAGAGCACAACAATTACAAACTCCCACTAAATCATAATATCCTCAAATAACACCACACCCATATGATCAGTGTGCTCATGAAAGACCTTGGATGGCAATCCCTTAGTAAGAGGACCAGCTATCATGGAGTTTGTCCCAATGTGCTCTATGGATATCTGTCCACTTTGTACCATTTCTTTCACAACCAGGAACTTAATGTCAATATGTTTTGACTTAGTTGAGCTCCTGTTGTTATTAGAATACATTACTGCAGATTTATTGTCATAATATAACCTTAATGGTCTTTCCATATTTTCCAAAATGCGCAGTCCTGTGACAAAGTTTCACAGCCATATTCTCTGATTGGATGCCTCATAGCAAGCTACAAATTCTGCTGTCATAGTGGAGGAAGCTACAAGTGTTTGTTTGACACTTTTCCATGATATAGCTCCTCCTGCTAACATATAAATGTAGCCTGATGTAGACTTTCTACTATCTTGGCATCCAGCAAAATCAGAATCATCTGTATGTGAGCATATAATCTTTTGTTTTCTGAAGATACCTCATAAACCTTTTGACTGCTATCCAATGATCTATACCAGGGTTGCTTAAGTATCTGCCTAACATCCCAACAATGTACGCAACATCCGGACGCGTACATACCTGAGCATACATTAGACTTCCTACAGTCGAAGCATAAAGAATCTTCTGCATTTTCTGAATTTCAAGGTTACCTTTAGGGCACTGATTGAGACTAAATTTGTCTCCTTTAGCCACAGGGGTGTCTCCTGGTCTGCAATCTTACATGCCAAACCTTTTAAATACCTTATCAATATAGCTCTTTTGTGATAATCCAAGAATACCCCGAGAGCGATCTCGATGTATCTGGATTCCTAATATAAAAGAGGCGTCCCCAAGATCTTTCATCTCAAAATTCTTTGATAGAAATCTCTTGGTTTCGTGCAGCATGCCTATATCATTAGTGGCAAGCAATATGTTATCGATATACAGAACCAGAAAGATATACTTACTCCCACTGAACTTGTGATATACATAGTCATCAACAATATTCATCTCAAAACCGAACGAGATAGTTATTTGTTGAAACTTATGATACCATTGACGAGGAGCTTGCTTGAGTCCATAGATGGATTTCCTTAATTTGCAGACCATATTCTTTGGGTCTCCTGACACAAAGTTTTTTGGTTGCACCATATAAATCATCTCATCAATATCTCCATTGAGAAATACAGTCTTAACATCCATCTGATGTAACTCAAGATCATAATGAGCAACAAGTGCCATGATTATTCTGAAAGAGTCTTTCGATGAAACCGGAGAGAAAGTCTCTGTATAATCAATGCCTTCCTTTTGAGTATAGCCTTTAGCCACAAGACGTGTCTTATACCTCTTCACATTACCATTTGCATCCCGCTTGGTTTTAAAAATCCATTTACAACCAATTGGTTTTGCACCTTCTGGCAATG